TGTTACTGGCCCTCATATGTGGCATCCGAACCGGGGCCCTCTGGCATCCTAAGCCAGTTCTTAACCATCGCGCCACTTGGCCGGCCCTACTGTAGTTTTAACTCTTATCTGAATTTTAAGTTAAAATCAATGGTGGAAATTATTTTGGATAAATGTTTACTTTCACTGAAGGCTTAATAGGTATAGACCTGCATATCTAACTTCATATTACAGTTTTGGGTTTTTTTTACTATTTGTATTAAGATTCAGATATATTTGTAACATAAACTAATTTTATCTTTGATATTTGCCTTTTTATTAACAGAAATGGATGATGAAGACTGTGAAAGAAGAAGAATGGAATGTTTAGATGAAATGTCCAATCTTGAAAAACAGTTTACCGATCTCAAGGATCAGTAAGTAGTAACTTCAAAAGGACACTGTCACTGGATCTCAGCCATGTCACATGTATACTAGCATAAGAGAAATTATATTCACTTTGAACTGTTTTCTTTTTTGTATTTTATGGGACTGACCTGAAAGAGGCTTCAACTATTGTTTGCTGCTGAAGATCTCATTAACTAAACTGAGGGGTTTGAGGCAGGTTTTTTGGGAGTGTAATAAGATTTCTATGTGGATGTTGGTAATTAAATTGTTTTCCCTGGGTTGTTTCGCTCTTGGGTCTAATTTGCATCATTCATTTCTTTGCTAAATAATTGGATAAAAATAGCGTTTTAAAAATTTGAGACTATTCCCCAAAGATGGCAGAGTGATTTTTGTTTATGTCTTAACATTGGATAGTACATACATTACATGTTTTCACGTGCATTATTTAGTTTGCTTCTTGCAACAACTCCGTAAGGTTGGAAAATAGTCTAATCTCCATTTTACCTGTGAGAAAATTGATGCTCAGAGAGGTTAAGTGATTCACCCGCAGTTCATCCGAAAGTGATAAATTAAGCGAGGCTTTCTGCCACCTAGTGCTACCATGTTCCTTCTACTAAGACATTACTTTGGAGGAAATGTAGTGGGGTAGAAAGAACACGGGCTCCACTTTCAGGCTTTCTCAGCAGATTAAAAAGGTATAATAGCTTCCTTATTACCTACTGTAAGGATTGAATAAGCAGTTTGTAAAATTCTTAGCCATTTGCTTGGCATGTAGTGGGTACTTATTAGATACTGTTTTTT